GTTTAGGGTTTAGTAGGGCCGGGAGCACGGTCTCAGAGCCCCAGATGTGGAGGGAGTTCTCATCTTCCTCGCTTCTCTCTGGGGTTTAGGGTACAGGGTTTGGTGTTTAAGTGCTTAGGGTTTGGGGCTCAGGGTATGAAATGTAAGGTTTTTCATATGCGCCCCAAACAATTCATTCATTTCTACTGCCCTGCCCTGCCCTTCCCTGCCCTGCCCTGCCCTGCCCTGCCCTGCCCTACCCTGCCACTCCCTCCTTGCCCCCTGCCCCTTCTCTCCCCTGCTTCCTTTCGTGCCGTTTACCGCCCAATCCTTGTGCCCTGCCCCCCGCTTGCCCTGGCCCCTGCCCTGTGCAAAACCTTCAGGCGCTAAGTAAGGTTAACCCTGCACTTCCTAAACCCTTCGGTCCCTGAACCCTTAACTCCAAACGGCTAAGCCCGGAAGCCTAAACCCCAAATCCCTGAGCCCTACAGTGAGAGGAGCTGCAGCAAGAGTTGGCGGACGTGTTGGCTGCCAAAGGCCTTCGGGAAGAGGAGCCTCGGAAAGTGGTGCTTCTTACCTACAGGGGTTTAGGGCCGTTTAGGGGTTTAGGGCTTTAGAGGTGTAGGTTGAAATTTTTATGGTTTTGGCGTTCGAATTGGGGTTTGTGTGTTGCGAGAACACTGCTTAGAGTGTCGGGCTTGGGGGGGTTCGGGTGTCGGGTCCGTAAGTCGTACCTGTCTGGTGCTTGCGGTATCTATAGACACCACCCCGTTCCTACGGTCTCAGCTAGTGACTCAGCGCCCTGGAGGTGGTGGGGGAGAGTTACATCGAATGCTGCACTGAACCTACCCAACTCCTCTAATCCCATCCTTGTCGAAGGCACGAGGCGCTTTCGGATCCCATAAACCTTGAGCTTAAAAACTAAGACCAGCTTCGTCTTGTTTGGAGGATCTTCCGTCGAGCAAAGCGAGGTGGAGGGCTGGTGCATCTTGATATGCAGTACGTGGCTGGAGGGCCTGAACCATTCAAGGTCTGCGATTGTTTGATTTCGGAACAGGGTCGAGAAGGATTCGGAGCTGAGGGGTGCAGCGCCGATTTACGGCACATGGTAAGATGCTCTTGATGTCATCATCGTACCAGTCGTCGAAAATGCAGTCGTGGTCGTCTTCGTTGTCTTCAATGTCGTCTTCGTTGCTCAGTTCGTCGCCGTAGTCTTAGTGGTACTGGTGGTAGTGGTAGTGGTAGTAGCAGCAGTAGTAGCAGTAGCAGTGGCAGTAGCAGTAGCAGTAGCGGCAGTAGTAGCAGCAGCAGCAGCACTAGTAGCAGGAGCAGCAGCGGTAGTAGTAGTCGTCGTCGTAGTGGTACTTCCCGGTGTCGTCGCAGTCATCGTGATGGTCGTAGCGGCAGTTGTTGTAGTAGCACTAGTACTGGTACTAGTAACTAATGCTATGACTTGTACAAGAAGCATCTTAAGTTGGTACGAGAGTGGTAATTTAGTGGGAGTGGTCGTCGACGGCGGTAGTGGTAGTGATTCATAGTTTGGTAGCAATAGCGAGAACGGTCGTGATAATACTATAGTAGTAGTGCTGGTAGTGCAGGTGGTAGCGGTAGTGGTAGTGATAGCAGGAGGAGGAGGAGGAGGAGGAGGAGTAGTAGTAGTCGTAGTAGTAGCAACAGCAGGAGGAGGCGGCTTGCGCCAAAGAAGCCAACCCACCTACGCCCGAGGCTGCTTCAGCTCGTCTTTCTCTGCCAAAGATAATTGCAATTACAAATAAATGACACGGATAAACGCAACCATCATGTAATCATCATGTACTCCCTGCGGCAGAAGAACTCCAGAAACTTTTACAACATAAGCGTCCGTCGTTTCTTCGTCACATGTAACGGTGCGGCGATGTTCGAAAAGTTCGCATGTGCCAGACGAACGTCTAAAACATGTCTTTATCTGGAAACGTGTGTTACAGCGGTGATCTTCAGATACGCTTTATCTTCCTTCTTCGCGATTTCGGCGGAATCTGGGTGATAATAATGGAACATAGAACAATCATTTTGGCCTTCGAACCAAAGACTGCTTTGCCCCAGTGAAGCATTACGAAGACATGCTATCGCGCTCTCTCTTTCTCTGTCGCGCAGAGTGCACAAGTGAGACCGCTCGCGAGCAGCCCTTTCAGTGAGACTAGAACAAATCATATTGCCAGTGATCCAGAAATGCGCCTTCCTGAAAAGTGCGGGCGGGTGCACCTGCAGTCCTGACAGTCTGTTGGGATGTTCCAGAGGTTTCCGGCGGCAGAGTATTGGGAGCCACCGTTTGCCAGAGTTGGCTAAACACGAAAGCATAGGAAGCATGGTCAGGTGGGTTCACCATAGGGAGTCGCCCAAAGCGTAGGATGACATATAGACCAACGTAGAACCTCCAGCATAAGCGCGGGAAGCTTGCGTCCAAATGGAGGATATGAGGTCATGTAGGAGAAAACTAGAGAGAGCCCATCCTCCACTGCTGGTCACATCGTAGCGGTGGAACTGGATTTCTCGAACAGACCTTGACGCTCGTAATCAGTCGGCATGAAGTCCAATGTCAAGCGAAATTCCAATGGCATTCCAGCAGCCAGAAGGCTAAATGGCTATTGGCAATCCTTGGATAAGTCATGATGGCAACGTAGATCGAAGATCATAGTGACCATCAAGCGCTCACTGTGGGGGGGTAGTGGCACAATCTTGTGAAGGAAGCCGGTGCCATGGCGGCGCAAGCAAGCAAGGGGACGATCCACACTGTCTTGTGCCAGAACCTATGCTATCGCGCTGCCAAGCAAAATACACGGTACCTGTCTGCCTTTTGAGCGTGATGAAAATTCAGTTCGAGGGCCATCCGTGCGCATTCTTGAACCGCCCAGCTACTGCAACGTGCCGGGTGGTAAGCTTGAGATTCCCTGGCTTAGTGACAGTCAGCTCTCGGCTGACATTCAGTAAACAATGATTACGGACTGCCTAGTGCAAATACGTCATTTTGCCACAAACGCATTAAAGATGCAATTGGGATTGCCTCTATTGCGAAGTACTGAGAACAAGCTGGTGTTTGCAGAGTTCGACAGAAACCAACTGCTGCCTCAATCAACAGTAGTGTCGACAGTGTGTTGGCTGCAAAGTACATGGAAACAGCTCACTACAAAAACGGGCTAAAGCTGCTGTGCTGTAGATTCCAGCAAGGAGCATCTTGCAGCAGCATTCTTTTCAAGTACGCACATTGCATGTTGCTGATGTTTCATTTCAGCCAAATGCGCAAATGGTGGATGCCGATGTGTTTCGCGCCTCATGGTTGCAAAATTCGTTCTTGGGGTGAAACTGGACTGTGAGAAGAGGAGCCGTGGTTCCGGCTGACGACAGAGCACAACTTCAGCTTCGCAAAGTCTTGAAGGGCACCTCTTTCTTTCAAGACCTGTGTGCCTGTGTCACTTGGAAGCTGAATGCCGAACTTTCTCGATAAACAAGGCCAGTCGACCAAAGCCAAAACCCAAGGGCCCAGCTCCCCTCCTCCAAACCCCCCAACCACGAGCCAAGGCTGCCGAGGCTGTGGCTTCTTGTGAGGGCCACCCAGCTCTTGAATGTATTGAGCAGGGCAGCCTGCAGAAGCAGGCACCGAAAATCTTAACGAGAAAGATCCTCCCGGTGTTCCATCAATATTGAAGACTTCCGGCCTGGTCTTCAAGGTTTACAGGGCATATTAATATCATACTCCAATACCCCCTGAAGCACGCCGGACTGCTTTCTACCCCGCGCCTTGTCTTTGCCCATGAAGGCATTTCGCAAGGACGCGTTCACAGCCTGCGCACGCCATCAGCAGAGCTGGACTGGTGATGCAAAGCTCAAGTTCGTTCAGAAACGCCAGAGACAAAGTCAATAAAGGCTCCAGTCGCGAGTCGTGGTGGAACTTGTACCGCACATGAATAGCCGCTGCCAAGTTGCCTCTCGATTTCTCTTCTGCATCTTGCTCTGCTTGGTGAACTGCGACCAATTCTGGAAAACCTCGATGCAGGGGCACTTTAGGGCGAAGCACGGACGGGAACGAGCACAGAGAAAGCTGATCTGTCAAAGATGCAGGGTCGGACTCCCACGACACCGAATTAGAGCTCCTGGCAGTCTTTTTGCTCCCCTTCTCATCACCGGCAGCCCACCTGGGTGTCGGCTGAAGCGGCTCTGAGTGAAATTCCTCGAAGAACAAACCGAGCCGATGGTCCAATACACCAACTTAACACACAGAGCATGACTGCAGCTGCACCAGCTTGAGACCTCCTGGGAAGAACGACAGCTTCTTACGATTATATACATGTATATGAACATCATCTGAGGAAACTGCTTGGTCACGGATGCCATGACGCTTGCACGGGCCTTGTCCATCGCAATTTCGGCCTGCCGAGCATGGTCCGCATTATGAAGACACTCTCTCGTTTTGGCAGACTGCAAATAGTCAGTGGCCGCTCCACCAGTTCCTCGAGAGGATCCGCAACCGGTATCAGGCTACGCTGCCCTGCGGGAAGATCGATGACTTAAACTAACCCACTTTAGTAGCAATCTCTCTCTCTCTCTCTCTGAGAGCGCTTTTTTCCGATCGCTAGAGCTCGGTGTGGTGAGCCTCAGTGCTGGTAGGGAACCCTTGCTTTCCCAGATGCTTTACAATTATGGAAAATTATGTACGCAAAAACATATGTATATGTAGAGAGAGAGAGGCTGATTTATCTACTTACTGATATATTTATTGATTTAAAGTTAATGAAATGAAAGTTACGAACGACGTCGTCTTTGAAAGTCAGAACTCCTGAGAGGGTTGACTGAGACACCTTCTCGCCGGTCAGCTATGATACGGCACTACCGGCTACAATCACAACAGGAACAGAAATCAACAGAAGTCATTCACATTCTGAGGAGCCTTCCGGAGCTGGGCCCATAAGTCAAGCGGTGGAAAGCCTGCGGATGCCTAAGTAACGGCCTTTTTGGGGCTGGGGGTCACCAGTCACCACAAAAGAGACCATGGCCCCAGAAAGGCGTGCAGCCGAAGTAGCGGAACTGCCAGGACCTGCCAAGGTCGACGAGTCCACGCAAAGTGGTGGCGGCCGTGGCGCTCTTTGGCCCAAGGGAGCTCCAGCGTGCAGAGCCGCCAAAGACTGAGCTGCAGGGAATCTTGGGGGAGATCGGGGCAACCGCCTGAGATTCCCTTGCTCTTCCCCAGGCTGCACCGGCCCTTGAGCTTCTCTAACCATGGTGGGTGATGCCTGCAATTGAAGCAGATCCCAGGTGGGTTAATCTTCACGGGAGCCGGGTGCCTTGCTTATCTAGATATCCCCCAATACCGTCGTGTGTCTCGTTGTTTTTCAGCCCAGACACAAGTGTAAGAATGTGTTTTCGTGAACGACCACCACCCCTGCACACAAAGGTGCTAAACCTATGCGGTATGCACGGAGCATGCCCCCACAGCCATCTTAAGATTAAGACGACATCGCAACTGCACACGCAACACAAGACGCCAACAATGCAGAATCGCTGCTTGCTCGCTTTGAGACCACATGGCTTCATCTGCTATGGGAGAGTGGCCAAACACTGTCAAAAAGCCAGCGTCGATAGCAAACCGATGCGAGTGCTTGTCCTGTCTAACTTGGCAGAGCCATAAGCGGAATTGAACATGATTGTCATCCACGCAGCATACGCACGCACAGTCTCCGCGCTGGAGAGTTTGTAGCGTAGCCACCTAAGCCACAAATCGAACGTCAGGGTATCCAGCCAGTCAGTCAATGCCTCTGCTTCTCTTCTACATACCTCCTTTTCAGCTCATTCGCGAGCAGATGCAAGTCTGATAGTCTTTGCACTCGGAAAGTAGGCCGAGCTAATGCTACGAAGTATCAGGCAACGAAGAGAATATGTGCTCATATGACTAGACGATAGCCAAAATCATCTCGGAGTGGCCCTGGGAAGAAGATCGCTTCACCTCAGACAGGTTCGAAAGGAAGTCCTTCTGATAAAGTCTCCACAGCGCTTTCCAAACAGTCCCTGCCCCGCTGTCAAAGAGTGGCTTTTGACGGGCCCATGGGGCCGACGTGTCTTTTAAAGGAGGGCCGAGCTGCCTTCCTTGCAAGGGACCTCGCTGTGCCAGTGGAAGGGGGCCTGCAGGAGCGGTGCCACTGGTGCATCCACTGCAGTCATAGGCCCTATCATAGCCCTAAGCCTAAGCCCTTTAAAAGAGTCCTTTAAAAAGAGCTCTCCCTCTCCAATCAAAATCCCATCGCGTGCACCTTTGCACAAACGACCGGAGCGGGGAGGGGAGGTGGGAGGGACCATGCAGCGGGTCTACCCAAGGCTGCGCTCTCAACGGCCCTGAAAGCCGGCCGAGGCCTTGGGCTCGAGGCCCAGGAGCTCGCCCTTCAGGCCATCAAGCTACGGCCACAGGTTTCAGCTGGACAGTGCACTTCGGTTCTGGCAGAGAATCTGCAGACACGTGGTGCCAGTGCCAGTTCTCTGGGCCGGCCCCACCCGCGCCTTCATTGGAACGCTGCCTGGCCAATTGCGGCTCCACCTACCTCGGATCCGTCGCGGCGAAACTCAGTCAAGGGAACTGACAGCTAGATAGAGTGCGGGGTTTTGCAGGGAGTAGAAGCAAAATCAGAGACTCGCTACGACCGTCTCGTGCTTTTGATTCCGAAACGCCAGGCAGTTTTCATTGTGACCTCCCGCTGACCGAGCGTAGGTTCGCAGGATGGGCCAGGTGGGAATGCGGAGATTGCTACCACACCCTGCCAGCCTTTCTAAGCATGTTCTGCAAAGATGCCCCGCGGGTCGGCGAAGCTCACCGTTGCTGACCCATCGCACAGAACCTGCGGCTCTGAGGTCTGAGTGCCTGGAGCAGATTGCAAATCTTGCTTCCAGCCAAGTGGCCGCCACCATCGAAGCACTCCGGTTCTCCCGCCATGGACCCTGAACAACATCGCGTGCAGGGGCTTAGGGCAGAGACAGAGAACCATGAGAACCGCACGGCTCTGATGCTCCCAGGCCGCCACGGATGCGATCGTTTCTGAAGAATTTCTCTCTGCGTTCAGGACTTCGGGGGCACCCCTGTCGAACAGCTAGTACTTGCAGACCGCCAGGTTCTTGCTCGATTTGGCGTTCATGTTCCGCTTTTGATTGCCCATTCCAGCTTCCAGGCGATTGATGTGGAGTGCACCCACATCTCCGAAATCTCCGTAGTCTACGCGACCTGGTTTAGTTGATGCTCGATTGCCTTGTAAAATGAGGGGGAAGCCCAAAAACGATGCACCTGCTGCTGCTGCTGCTGCTGCTGCTGCTGCTGCGGCTGCTGCTGCTGCTGCTGCGACTGCGACTACGAGTGCGACTACGAGTGCAACGACAACGACGACCTACTGCTGCTGCTACTACTACTGTTGCCGTCCAGTTTCGATTCGTGTAAACTGCTGAAGGTTCCAAAACGATCCCCCAAAAGATGCCCAAAATCGATCAGGAGTCGATTTGTGAGCCATGCCCATTTACATGGCGGCGCGAATAGCACATGTGAGGCACTTCAAAAGCTCTGCATGTGTCCTGGATTACCAACCATACTGCGAAACGATAGGGAGAGCCCAGCTTGAGCATCAGCGTATGTCTCCAAATCCCCGGCATATTCTCGACTTCCCCACACACTGCAGCGCTGCTGCATCCAGACATCACAGGTAAGGCCGAAGGTGTGAACCAACACTCAAATCTGAGACCAACAACAGCGATTCAGGAACATCGTCAGCCTCTGCATCCACTGAAGCCGGGGAGGATACTACGGCTGCACTGGGGACGTCGGCCTGCCGTTGCCATCGGATAAGCGACCCCCAGATATGATGATTTCTACGGTTGGCAACTGCTGGCTCCAGATCCACCGGCAAACAACCCTGCGCAGGTTGAAGTCTTGTTGGCCGACATGCCTCCAGCAGCTTTGCGACCGCCTCCTCAACCTCTCGGACTTGCCTGCATTGCAGGACATGTTCTGGGCCTTCAAGCTTTCTCACTGCATTGTCAATTCAGCTGCCAGCGAGGGATTCACATAAGCACAAGGTACGCTTGGCCTCGTCTGCATGACGTGAACCTGGGTGCCGAACACCTGAGCATGCAAGAATATCCATTTTGATTTGCCGCTTCCAAGCCTGCCGAGCTGATCGAAGTCGGGCTCGAAAAGCCATGCTGCCGACACACCATCCTGTGCTCTAAGGTCCAAGCCCGCAGCAGCCGCAGCGTCCTAATGCAGAAGAAGTCTGAGAGGCGAGTGCAAAAGGGCTCTGTCCTCTGCAGTACACCATGACCACTATGCTGCTAATGACTTCTAATGGAATACTACAAGTACAAGTCTTATAGTGATTCGTTTGAATTGAAAGGAGCGTTGAGTCCTGAGAGCTGGCTCTCTGCGCTGGGAACACATGCGGCTGCAGCGATCTGCCCCGTTCAGCGCAGGGTGGAGGAACTGCCTCGACTCGGGTTTAGGGTTGAGACTGCAGCGTTGAAAATTATTCAGTACTGGGAAAAGCATGGCGCATGAAGGTTTTTGGGTGGATCCGGCAAGATCGACTTCAAGCCGCAACACAAAGTCGCAGCAACGCCTTGGTGCTCGGCCACGATGGCTGAGAGAAGCATTTCAATCGATGGAAAGCTGCTACCAACGCCACGGGTTCTCGCAAAAACAAGCGCTACGCATGTGGCCCATCAAAACCGATTGCCAACATAGTGAAGTGTAACTACCATTCCATGCAGGCACCCAAACCCACGAAGCCTACGATGAGGCGCCACGGATCTGTTTCAACCCAGCCAATGCCAGCACTGAATGGGCCGGGCTGCGAAAACTCGACCTCCGGTGGCGTGTCGCCTTACTGGACACCATGTTCCATTGTAACACGACACATGAGAATTTGAGAAAATCGAGGACCCAAAGATCGATCGCAATGCGTACGATCTTGGTTTTAAGAACGGGAACCAAAAGGGCCGATGCTTGCAAGCAACCTAGATACCTAGATACAGGCTCAGGGATGACGGTGGGCCCACAGAACTCACAACACGGGAAACGCGAAAGCACTCTCTCAAAGGACCGGAACTCTGCCTGAACTGAAGAACCAAAAAAAAAGAGGACCGGACAGGATGCTGCAGCCGAGAGTCCCCATGAGATGATCAGCTTCCTGTCTCCCCAAAAAAGCTTTGCTGTGCGCAAAGCACTCATGCAGCATATGCTCGCACTGAATTCTCGAAGCTGCGAGTCTATGTCCCATCCGGGTTTCTGGAAGCCACTGTCACAGACTTCATCATTCACGCCGTCAACCTCTGAACAGTGAGAGCACCTCCAGTGCATCAGCGCGGCGTAAGCAGCCTGACGGCGCTCACTCGAGAAAGTGCGGCTTGCCGATACTTATGGCATGCGCCGGGCCTCGACTGTCACGATTCAAACTACGCAGGATTTTCGTCACGTCATGAAGCCCGAAAGCAGACTGTGCTGTTCTGATCCCCGGGGCCTTGTACTTCTTGGGGACCTTCTGCGGGATGAGGTCTTTCAGGCCTATGGAAGCAGACGCAAGCGCTTCAGGAACCCGGCGCGGACGCTGTTAGCAAGACACGGCTGCAGCTGAAACCATCGCAACTTGCGATCATCTGCGGTCTCTTGGAAATCTTTTGCACCTTAAGAATTCCGAGACCCAGGCATTGCTCTACTTTGGGACGAATGCTCGGATCAAGCAGGATGGCGCGGGCGAACATGAGAGCAGCATCCAGGTAGTACCTCAGAGAAAAAGATCACATGATCACTCGGATCATCCGCCACTACTAGCAGTCCTCCTCCACCTCCTCCTCCTTCCCCCCCTCCTCTTCCTCCTCTCTCGGCCACGTGCCACTCCCGTACGGTGCGTTTCACGGAAAATGAAAACTGAAGGAGTTCGAGTACCGACTGTGGCTCTGGTGTTGGGGCATGCTCTGGACCGAGGGGAGCTTGCAAAAACTCGACACGTCAAGACGCAGGGCATGGCCAAATGTGCCAACCGGTCAGAGACCTTGGAAGGCTTCGAGAAAACATCGATCAGGTTCGCGGCAGGCTGCAGCGGCGAAGCTTGCATGTATCTCCAGGCGTCTCCGAAAGGTTTGTAGACTCCCAGTCTCCGTGGAGGTTGCCCTTTCTGCCCTTTCTACATGCAGCTCATTCCATTTGCAAGCCGTGCAGTACCAAAAAGCAGCGAAACACATGCCAACCTAGGCCTACGACACACTAAGCGTCCCACACGGAACTCATGTTACTCGTACCGTTCTTACCACTGCTCATCGCATTTTCCGAGTGCCACCATTGCCAGTCACTATCATTACCACACCTATCGCCACCACCGCCGACATCACTTTCGAATCACCACTGAGGGGGACGACGACCCGCCAAACCACTGAGGCTGACCATTGGACCATTGCTGCTCAGCGGCTCGCCCTCGCCTCTCATGTCGAGGATCACAGCGACGCGGGCAGAGATATTCCCTCCAAGCATTCTCCAGTCGAGCTGTTTAGGAATTGCCCCAACTAGTTCGTTGCCTCTTTCCTTCGCACCGTTCGTCGCTTGATTCTTCGCTTAGTAAGATGTCTGCATCTCGCATGAATGCCGAGTGTTACGCCTTATCGATCAGGGTTTCTCCCGATGCCACTACCGGGTCAGTGCTAGCTTGGCTTAGCTTCAGCTGCTCGGGGGTCTCTCCAGTCCGCTTCCCCTGAAAAGCCCGAGAATGCAGCGACCTGCCGCAAGCCAAGCCGTGGCATCTGACCTTGCCATGGTACGCTCGGCCGTGCTGCTTCGTTCGTTAAGGTTCTTCAGTGGCGGTTTGCGAATGCCTCAGCACCGCAGCCTGTTCTCTTATCTGGGGAGGAAGAAACTTTCCTGTCGCTTTCGCTGGAGGTGATGCCAGAGCCTCTCATCAGACGAGACAAGATCGGCAAAAAGTACTGCCAAGCAACGCTCCGAATTGGAGCATGGCCATAACTTGGTTCTGCACCTGAGGGAAGACTTTGCCGGGTGTACGCAAGTCGCATGAATCAATGTCTGCATCTGTCTGTCGGAATGTGCCTCCCACATCTTCATGTACGGATCCTTCCGCGGCACTGTTTCAGTTCACAAGGACAGCAAGAACTACTAACTTCCGAAACAGGTGCGAATGCACACCACGGACTGATCATCCACGACTGCAGGCTGCCGTAAGCGGGCCAAGTGAACCAGAAACGGCATTGGCATGCCAGCCCTTGAGTTTTAAACGGCCGGAAAATGCCGACCTGCAGTCCTGAGCGGTCCTTCAGCTTCTCGGCCAAGTCCAGCGCGGCCTTGGCGTGCGCGGCGTAGCTCGCCACTGCTGCAGGCCGTGCTGCGGGTGCCTATGAGCAGGGCGAGGCGAGTAAACGGATGAGGATGCGAGAGCCATGGGGCAAGCCCCTTTCGTGCGCCTCAGGCTTGGCGACGCGCTCCCACCCATCCAGGGGGCTCTCGCTCCCCTGTCGTATGCAGAGCGGAGAATGAGCGGAGACGATTCGAAAGGACGGGGAGAACGGCGAAAACGGATGGTTTCCGAGGGCACGAGAACGGACACCCCGCCTTGTGCTTCCCAGACAACTTCCTGCGTTTCTTTGGCAGGTGGCAGTTCGATGGAAATACGACGCGGGTGCCCTTCCCGATGTGCGGCGGGACCTGTGCTTCGGCAAGCTGCCCCACTGCAATGCCGTGATTAAAGGTCTTCTCTCAGGTTGCAGAATGTGTGCACGAACTCGCTCCTTGTGAATGGCGAAAGAGGGAAAGATCAGGATGTCGCCCTCCTCTGCATAGAAGGCCGCAGGCCGGTGGAACCTCAGTCGCAGAATCCGACGAGAAACGTGAGACCTGTCACCTGGACGGTACGGCCTTGAATGTCGCATAAGAGACAAGAGCATTGATCCTGTCTTGGCTTCTGCACGCCAGAAGGCAGAGGTGCTACAATGTGCTACAATGTCCAAGCAAATGAATTCTTACCAACAAGTCCCCTTCTTGCCCAAGCCACGGAGGCTCGCTGTCCACACCCATATCACCTCGGTCCTGCAGCAGCATTGCTTTATACTGTAGCCTTGGCCATTTAGGTTCAACATGTGTGATTTCAGCTCCACGGTGAGAGCCAAGGATAGTGGTCCACAAGGCAGCTCCTAAACTAAATGGACTCGAGAGGGACTTCTCAGACAACACATTGCTGACCTGGAACCACTCGAAATCTTCGATCGGCGGAGCACCCCGCGGGTCGGAGATTGTCAAAGGTGTCGTTGGTTCAGGCATTTTCACGTAGAGGACAAAGCCTCAGCAGGGAGGGCAATGGTCACCATGTCGCGCTTTCGCATGCAATAAAGGGCATGCAGAAAACTGAAAGCAGCCAAGCTCTGTGCGAGTCAATGATTCGCAAAATGATTCTCCCTCTGATGCAGGGTGGAGCAGGAAAAAACTCTTCAACCAAGATACTCACGATGGACTCCTGCCGCAACTGCAACTCACTACTGCCTGTGATGCAGCAAGCAAAGCATGTACCAAGTCCTATTGGCACAACCGACACGACAATTGCCGATTACAACCTGATCAGAGCTCCTAGGCAGGAACCCGTCAATCAGACGTTAGATCTCCGGAGATGCTCCTGGTGGGCATGGTAGTAATGCGTGACAGGGTCCTTCGGCTTCATCCTTGGGAAGGAGCACGTCTGATCGCGCTACCAAGGTTCGCAAGGAGATTCTGATTCTGGAAGACAGCTACAACATCATGCAAGCTACGGCTGGTCGTGCTAGTAACTGCTAGTATTTCCTACGAGGCGCTACAACTCGCAAATGGCGCCAGCTCTCTTGAGATAACGGCAGAGGGGTTTTAGGAGATGACCAGATCGTGTGCACTTGTGTCTGCGAAGCATCGCACAGCTGTCACACCCTCGTGCGGTGCGTCTTGCCAGCGTCTCCCGCGTGTTATTCCACCCCAGCAGACAGCATGTCTGAGAACGGAATTCCAGCGAGTCATAGCGAGTTCTACCACTGACAATGGCCGCCTTAAGAGCTTTGTACGCAAGCCGCTCTCTCACGACCAAAGATGCATCGCAAGGCTAGTCCGATCCGAGGATCGTAGGGTACACCGCTGCCCATGTGACCACCTCCATTTCTTCCCTTTCCTCCTGGCCCAGGCTGGGGCTCAGGTCATCTCGGGAAGCTCAGAAGCGGTCCTTTGGGGTCTAGGCTGTGCCACTCGTTTTCCGTGAAACTTTGAAAGGACAGGCAAGTGCCTGGTGCTGCAACCTGCCTTGGTCAACGGCACGCCCATCTTGTCCAGGAAGGACATGCAAATCTCGATGCTCGTTTCCGCCCACTCTTTGTATTCCTGGTTCGTGGACTCTCTATAGCCGTGGAAGGGTCAGGAAGCAGCCCGATGGTGAACAAAACACACCCCATCCAAAGTGTCCGGGTATCTAACAAGGCACCAAGCTTGCTATGGGATCAACAGTTCTCGTGCACTCCGATTCAATCAAGCAGCCCGGCTCTTGTAAAGCTCCGGCCAGGAATCAGGCGACTCCATAGCTGCGAAGGGATTTGTGTCCTGCAGCTGTGTACGATTGCAAATGCTGCCCCAACTGGTCCATGTGGACAAGTGTGTCAGGGGGCGGGCATCTGATTTCTGACTCGGACTTCGAAGAATGAGTTCACAGGAGCAACACTCTAACGATGCCCACCTGGTGCTGGAAGAAATGATTGTTCACGTTGACGAAAGCCTCCCGGTTTTCCTGCTGGACCTGCGGGAATGCAGGACCTCCTTCGCATCCAGAGCAGACTTTCGCGAGCAAGCTTGCGTATGAGCAACACTGGGATTCGATCTATCGCAAGCTTCGCATTCGATTGGGATTGCGAGGCAGGATCCGCACAGCCAGTTTTGGTGGATCCCAGCTTCTTACAGAACCAGCCGCAGGGCAGCGGCCTCGGCAAACTTCTTCATGGCCAATGTGCCGAAGCGGTGCAGCGTCTTCCTCAAGTCCACACTTCCTACAAGGCTTCTGGGCATGATGCTTCTCTGATAGGTCGGATCCAGAAATCCGGTCGTTCTAGTGTCTCATCAAGCCATTAATCGCAGCCACTTTCACTCCACCGTCCGGATGTTCGAAAGTCGACATGCTCCAAAGGACTCAGAGAATCAGCAAATTCTGGTTACGTTCTTCCGGCTACTACAACTGTGTCTTGTTGCGTCATGGCACACCGCAAAGACCGGACTGTCAGGCTCTAGAATCTAGAAGAGTACTGTGTGTCTGCATGGTCACCTGACTCCTGACGATTGAAGAACATCACTCAAGTCTTCTATCCTTTTACCGTTTGTTACGAGTATCTGTGACCGGCTTTTGTAGCCGTCCAACACACTGACGGTTGATTAAGTCCTGGAATATGTCTTTAAATTCGAGTTTCATCTTGTCAACCCTACTTGTACTCTTGTCTCGCTGTGCGCAAAGCAAAGCCAAGACCATCATCTCTTGTCGAAATATGTTTTGGTTGACCGCATGTTGCGTTGCTTCATCCGGTCTTCTGTGATCCTGATTCCCAAGCGATAAGCGGAAACAACACCGCTGTGCCATCCTGCATTTTATTCTTCAGTAGTGTAGCAGCATTGCCACCAGCTGAGACTGTTCTGGTTTGCGGGTAATTACTTAATTCTACCCATAGATCATTCCACCACTCGGTTCTTACAGCAGATATGACTACCTCTTTACACAATAAAATATCACGATGCCAATGCAGCATGCCATATATCGCAGTCTAGTCCTGGTTTGCGACTGCACCCACTCCATGCCTATTGATGGTACTCTTATTCCACTAGATGCTACACCAAGTACATTGCGCGACCCTGTATGTATTGTAGGAGCAGGTACCAGTAGCGGAAGTGTTTGTGGCTGCTGCAGTGCCAGGCAGAAGTACAGGCAGACGCAGTAGGAGCAGTACCTACGGCTAGCAGCAGCAGCAGCAGCAGCAGCAGCAGCAGCAGCGTAGGAGTCGGAGTAGTAGTAGTAGTAGTCGTCGTCGTCGTCGTCGTCGTCGCCGTCGTCAGTGGTAGTGGTAGTCGTCGTCTTCGTCGTCGTAGTAGTCGTAGT